TGATGACTATGCAAACATTAAAAATAAACTGCTAGAATTATGTAAACCAAAGAAGAAGGAACCTGGGGAGGGGTATAGTACAATGGAACAAGAAAACAACACAATTGTAATGACATATACCACTCTAATATCTGCACAGCAGATCAGTAGAAGTTATTAAACTAGAGAGATGTGTAGAAGCATGCAAGGGGACAGGTTTTATACACTACTCTGATGATCTATATTTTGTAACCTCTCTAAATAAGGAATGTTATGGTATTGAAGACAGTAGTAATGCTCTATCGTACTAAAAGGACAAACTAGGATGCTAGAAACTTACAAGAGGGGTGGCTCATTAAAGCCAACAATGTTTAACTGTAAGCCAGTTCTGAGGAAGGGTCACTGAACCTAAAATGTTAACTCTGCTTTCTCTCCACATATGCTGCCAGACCTGCTGAGTTTTTCCAGCAATTTCTATTTTTGTTGTTAGTGTCTAACAGTGCGTATGTAGGTACCCATCATCCAGAGAGAATAAGAAGTACAGTATTTAATTAAGCTAGTCATAAGATCAGCATAAAGAATAAAACAAAGCAGTCAGAACAAAGTCATGTACATGGCTTGGAGGACTGAACTGGTTACCCTGCAGCTGGCAAACCAGGCTGTATTATTATTGTGTCGCTTAGAGAACTCTCAAGGTCAGTCAAGAAGCCATAGGCATGCAGATGCCCGAAGAGTTTCACTTTGGGCCTCGGAGTCAGGTTGTATTGTTTGCATGTCATCTTGTTATTTAACATAACGCTGTAGAACTGATACCCAGCACCCAGTACTGTTAACTTTCAGTGTAGTAAAACTTTTATAGAAAACTCTCAGGTGTGAATCAGGCACAGTTAATGTCCTCAGACTAGCAACTCTATGCTGTGAAAGGAAAATTATAAGTTTTGTTGGGCCACAGAAAAAAATTAAGTAAACCTGTTCTGTGATTTGATTTAAAGATCACAGTAAAAACACAGCACATTCATTATTCAGAGATAGTAGGAACTGCAGATGCTG